AGAATAACCTACCACATTTACTAACACCATCCTTATCTCCACTTATAATAGCATTATCAAACGCTTTACGTACTAATGAACATACCTATGATCATTATCATATACTAGGCCCCCCCCAGTAACAGTATGAGTAGCCTACTACTACCTCATCTTCAAGTCTCTTAGCCTCTTTAAGACTTGCATTATCACATACCTTGTATATATCAGGATACATACGTCTTATCTATTATAGTAGTAACGATCGCACCAACAAATACTGTATCATTATACCTCTCTAATCCGGGCTATTGCTTTAGCAGCATCATCAATGTTATTAGTAGCTAGTGCCTCTTTACAGATATGTATAGTATCATGCATAGTTATAACACTCTGGGCTAAGTCTTGAGCTTCTTGTAGAGCACATTTGGTATTATCCAACTCCTCAACTCTTGATGATAATGAACAAGCTGTTTGTGATAGTTCCGATACTTCTGCTTCTAATCGTATTATCTATAATACATATTATGATGCTTACCAACATCAACAAAAACGACAACAACAACGACAACAACAACAACAACAACGACAACGACAACAACGATAACAATAACAAGAAGAGCGAGAGGAACGATAGACTATTACTTTCTCCTGCAATTCCACATTATCATAGACGCTTCGTTGATTGGTCCTCAACATGAAAGTTTTTGGATACGTTGGGAGAAGAGAAGCTAGAGTTGAGATCCAACCTTTTGGAGGGCGGGGACAAGAAAAAAGAGGATGTTAGAGTCAAGGCTGATGTGTGCTTGTGTTTACGGACAATGGTGTTATATCGATTGGTCCTCAACATGAAACTTCTTGGATATGTTGGGAGCAAGCACGATAAAAAGCGTTGGATGAATTGTTTATTCCCGAGCTAGGTTCTCCCGTCTCCCCTCGATGAACTACTTAGTGAAGGAAAATTAGTGAACGCAACATGTTTCAATATTTGGATGTATGATATGGAATAAGTTCTCGGTAAATTTATATGTGATAGTCACCTAGACAACGAGGCTTCCCTAGCCGCTTGACTGATATAGTGAAGTTTCGATCTCGACGAAGCTTATATAGCTCGTCGAGCTCGATATAAGCCATCATATGAACCTCGATATAGCGAAGCTTCCTGCAGGAAGAGCTGTACGATTTGGTGACACTTCATAAGAGACATAATAAGTCTTCAGGATGTCACAGCAGAGCGTGTATCAGAGGTCCAGCTTTTTGAGTAGAAAAAGCTAACTTGGAAAGGTGGTCGCTTGCGTTGCTCAACACTGACTAATTATATAAAATGTTGAGTAGGAGTTAAGTGTATATGAGATATAGTTGTTAGATATGTACTTGAACATTTAAATGAGCCCCTGAAATCCATTGTGGCAAAACCG